CCGACAGCTGCGAAGTGCGTAAGGCCGGTGTCGCCTATCGCAAGCTCGAAGTCTCAGGCTACGGGTCCGACACAGCCTTTCAAACAACGGTTGGCAACGCGTGGTGGCTCAAAGCCGCAGGAGCTATGCGTGGCTTATTGCGTATAAAGCGTCAACAGGTGCGCATCCTGCATGACCTCGAGGGAGTCGTCAACGATGGCGAGATGCTTTGCGTGCTGGGTCCGCCAGGTAGTGGCTGCTCGACGTTTTTGCGTACCATGGCGGGAGATACGCAAGGCACGCAGGTGGCAGAGGATTCTCGCCTCAACTACCGCGGTGTGAGTGCCGATGAGATGAAGCGCTACTTCAAAGGCGACGCCATCTACACCGCCGAAGAGGACGTTCACTTCCCGGCGCTCTCGGTAGCGGACACACTCTTCTTCGCCGCGAGAGCGAGAGCGCCCAGAACCCGGCCCGCTGGGCTATCAGCGGACGAGTATGCGACATGGGTGCGTGACGTGACTATGGCCATGCTGGGAATCCAGCACACGATGCAGACACCAGTTGGTGGCACAGATGGCGACACAGTACGCGGCGTATCTGGCGGCGAGCGCAAGCGTGTGAGCATTGCTGAGGCGGCGCTGAGTTTCGCGCCGATCCAGTGCTGGGACAACAGCACGCGTGGGCTCGACAGCGCTGCGACTGTGGATCTCTGCAAAAACTTGCGCGTCCAGAGCGATATCATGGGCATGGTGAGCATGGTCGCCATCTATCAAGCACCCGAAGAGGCCTACGAGTTGTTCGACAAAGTACTGGTTCTCTACGAAGGGCGACAGATCTACTTTGGGAAGACGACGGAAGCCAAACGCTACTTCCAGCGGCTGGGCTTCGTTTGTCCCAAGATACAGACGACACCGGACTTCCTGACATCTATGACCAGCCCAGCTGAGCGCGAGGGCATCGTCAAGCCTGGCTACGAGCAAAAGGTCCCGCGTACTCCGGACGAGTTCGCCGAGGCATGGCGGACGAGTAGTCTCCGCGGCAAGCTCGGCGATGAACTAGACTCCTACGACGCATCCTTTTCTCTGAGCAGTAGTGGCCCGCGCAACTCACGCACACACTTTGCCGAGTTCCTGGAGAGCAAGAAGAGTGATCAGTCTTGGATGCAACGATGGAAGTCTCCCTACACCCTTTCGTACCCACGCCAGGTTCTCCTATGTCTATGGCGCGCACTCGCGCTCCTCAAGGCCTCGCCGCAGATGACGGTGATGATGCTCGTCCTCAACCTCTTCCAGACTCTCATCGTCGCTAGTGTCTTCTTTCGTCTGCCCGATACGGCCGAGTCCATTAAGTCGCGCAGCACGTTTCTGTTCACGGCCGCTCTGGTTAACGCCTTTGGATGCGTGCTTGAGGTGCCAGCTTTGTACGCCAAGCGCTCCATCGTTGAGAAGCATGTCCGGTACGCCTTATATCATGCATCAGCTGAGGCCGTCGCCGACTTGGTCATGAGCTTGCCATATAAGCTGCTCAACGCGATCACGATTAACACAATATTCTACTGGATGTGTAATATGCGCAATGAAGCTGGATCCTTTGTGTTCTTCGTGCTGGTACAGTTCGCCATGACTCTAGCCGTGAGCTTGCTCTTCCGGCTCGTTGCTTCCGTCACCAAGAGTCATACGGCGGCCCAGGCGCCTTCAACCATTGTGTTGCTCACGCTGGCGCTCTACACTGGGTTCGCTGTCCCGCCCATGTATATCAAGCCGTACGCCAAATGGATTGCCACACTCAGCCCCGTGTCTTACGGATTCGAGGCTCTCATGATCAACGAGCTCGGCGACAATCGCAAGTTCCCTTGCAAGACCTTTGTTCCGTTCGGTCCGAACTACGAGATGGACGCTGTGAGTATGACCATGATAGCGCGGACACGCGTGTGTGCCGCGCAAGGAGGCGTGCCGGGCGAGACATTCATCAACGGGACCAAGTACATCAACGGTGCCTTTCGTTATATGGATAGTCATCGATGGCGCAACGTCGGTATTGTCTTTGCATTTGCGGTCGCCTATCTCGTTTTGCACCTCATCGCCACAGAGATTGTGAGTAGCGCGAAGAGCAAAGGGGAGATGCTGGTTTTCCCTAGGGGCAAAGTCCCAACAAGGCGGACTGGAGAGCCGACTCGAGACGTGGAGGACCAAATCACCAAGGGGAAGACAGAAGCCCCAAGCGGCCATGACGCTGACGACAATGGCGACTTGACCATTGACCGTCAGACGGCCATATTCCACTGGAGTAATGTCTGCTACGAAGTCAAGCTTAAGAAGAAGGAGACGAAACGCATCCTGGATGGCGTAGACGGATGGTGCAAGCCGGGAACGCTCACTGCCCTCATGGGCGTTTCTGGCGCCGGCAAGACTACCCTCCTCGACGCTCTAGCCTCGCGTCTATCTGTTGGTGTGGTGACAGGCGAGATGCTCGTCGACGGTGCCCCTCGCGACGATTCCTTTCAGCAGAAAACGGGCTACGTCAAGCAGCAGGACCAGCATCTTCTCACGTCCACCGTGCGTGAGGCCCTAACTTTCAGCGCCGTCCTCCGACAGCCGGCCCGGTTTTCACACAAGCAAAAGATTGCATACGTCGACAAGGTGATTGAGATCCTGGGCATGGAAGAGTATGCGGATGCGGTCGTTGGCGTCCCCGGAGAGGGTCTCAATGTTGAGCAGCGAAAGAAGCTTACCATCGGTGTTGAGTTGGCTGCTCGTCCTGCACTTCTGTTGTTCTTGGATGAGCCTACCTCGGGCTTAGATTCTCAGACAAGCTTATCGATCTGCACTTTGCTTGAGACGTTGAGACAAAACGGGCAGGCTATCTTGTGCACAATTCACCAGCCTTCAGCGACTGTAAGTCCTCTTCTGTTCCCCTTTTCCAGTGGCTAGTACACTACCAACATGATGACAGCTCTTTGAGAGGTTCGACAGACTTCTTCTTCTTGCTCGAGGCGGAAGGACTGTCTACTTTGGACAAATCGGGCGCAACGCCAAGGTCCTGGTCGACTACTTCGTCCGCAATGGCGGACCGCGACCCAAGAAGGGGAAGAATCCGGCCGAGTACATCCTTGAACAAGTCAAAGCCAGCGGAAGCGGGAAAAGCGACATAAACTGGCCCGGAGTATGGCGCAAAAGCACTGAGTATGAAGAGGTCAAGGCTCATTTGGCAAAACTCAAAGAAACACAACACCAAGACGCAGCACATCAACAGCAGCTGCATAACGATCCCCCCTTCGCCGCTCCTGTAATCACGCAGTTCTCCGAGGTGACCAGGCGTTTGGCCAAGCACTATTGGCGCACCCCAAGTTACGTGTACGCAAAGTTACTCTTGACCTTTGGCTCGGCTCTTTTCATCGGTCTCTCTCTGCTCAACCTACCCAACACGCAGACGGGCGTCACCATCCAAACCATAGCCATCTTCATGTTCCTCACAACGCACCTTAACTTGACACAACAAATTGTTCCCATATTTGTGTCACAGCGTACACTCTATGAGGGCCGTGAGCAGCCTTCACGCACATACTCGTGGGCCGCCTTCATGGGCGCTCAAATGGTGGTTGAGATGGCCTACAACGCGCTCATGGCCCCACCAGCATTTGTGGCCTGGTACTACCTCGTCGGGCTACAGCGTAACGCAGCAGAGACAAACGATACTGCAGCTCGTGGCGGACTAGCGGTCTTGTTCATGCTCGTCTTCTTCCTGCAGGCTAGCACATTCGCCTACATGATTGGGGCCGCCTTCGACCTCGCCGACCAGGCTGCAGGCGTCGGCAATCTCTTGTTTGTCATGATGTTCATCTTCAACGGCATCCTCGGGACGCCGCCCAAGTTTTGGGTGTGGGTGTACCGCGTCAATCCCTTCACCTACCTCGTTGAGGGATTGCTCGGCACAGGGCTTGCGAACGCCAAGATCCAATGCGCCGATAACGAGTTCTTGCTCGTGAATCCGCCTCTTGGACAGACGTGCGGCGAGTACTTGCAGCCTTTCATTGCCCAGGCGGGCGGATATCTCGCTGATACGACTGTCTTGGACAACTGCAAGTATTGCACAACGAACAATACAAATCAGGTCTTGTCAGGGGTGCATGTCGAGTTCAGCAACCGCTGGCGCGACTTGGGCATCTTGTTTGCGTACGTCTTCTTCTACGCTATTGCTGCTTTCGGGTTATACTACATCCGTGTGCCCAAGCCTAAGAAAGATAAAGGCAAGACATCGCCATCAACACTTCCGTCACCTCAAGACGGCAGCAATACAGACCCTCCGCCCAAATTTCCTATGGAGGAGTCTGAAAAGCAAGCAGAAAGGTCGTCGCAGGCCATGCGGGCCGGCAAGGTTCTTGGATCGCTTCGGTCGTCTATTCACGGCGGCTTGCAAGGGCTTGGAAATGGTGGAAGAAAATATTGGGATGATGATTTGGAGAATGCGGACGATGCTCAAATAATCGGCAAGGAGGCAGATTTGGGGTACTTGAGTGAAGGCGAAGAGGGGAACCGAGATGTTGATATTCGTGATTTCAGCATGCAAAGGTCGCCTGTGACTCCCCAATATTGGATTTAGTGGGATTAGGTTAGTCAACGTGCTTGATTGGAGTAATAATGAGTTATTAATTCTCAATCATCTTGAATGGCAAGTCCTGACATGGCGATTCACACCTGGATTCGACTAGGATCGATGCAAACTGCGTACACCTACTTACACCTACTTGATACAATTTCACCACTTGTGCACTCATCGTCAGGATACATAGCTCAACATTTGAATCTCATTAGGCAACGGTATTCGGACTTTGAGAGCAACAGAGATGTCAGATAGAACATTACCGCACTCCGCATCCATACTCAATGCAGGGAGATGTTCGCACGTTTGACGTCGAAGGTTACTACTTATAAAGAGCTCGTCGCTGAACATGTTTTCAAAACGAAAAAGCAATTAAATTCATTCAACAGATCTGGTACCAAGGGGCTTAATGTACCTTACTAATGACTGCCATTCGTGCCAGTTGCACGATCCTCCTTCAACCGACATTCAATCACATTACCCAAACCACGGCAGATCCACACCTTGACAATCTTCAATCCAGCCGCCTTGACAACACGATCCAAGTCTTGGAAAGTCCTCTGTCGACCGTTGGGGCTAGCAGTCAGAACGAACCCTCCGATGAGCCCCATGGACTGGAACGCCCCGTAATTCTTCAATAACGGGGCAGGCGCATCAGGGAGCAGAGCGTCGCCGCACGTCGGGTGTGGTATGTACTCGCCAATAAGCAGACGCGACTTCCCAGGCGCCATAGCATTCCTGATGTGCGTGAACATGGTGGTCAAGTCCTTATCCTGCCAGTCGACAATGACGGACCGGAACCAGTACACGTCGGCTCCCTTGACCGGGTTCTCATTGAAGAAGTCATGGGGTGTAAGCTTGACCACGCCCGAGGTCAACGCCTGCGGATCTGTCTTATTCCAATGTGCTGTGGCGTGCGCAATCATGCCGGGTTGGTCCTGGACGATGCCGACAAAGTCGTTCTTGTGATGGGGGAAATTTGTACGCAAGGATTGGATCGAGCTACCGAGTCCGCCACCAACGTCGACGATGACGGCGCCGTTCCGGAGGGTGGTTTCCCAGGGGTACCCGCGCACATCGGTCAGGCCGTGGAGGTACTCGCCCAGCGAAGCGAGCCAAAAGTCGAAACAGTCGCGCCACTCGGGGTGCGCGTTGAGAAACTCGAACTGTCCCATGCCCTTACCGATGCTCTTGGCAAAAGCTGAGTCTCGCGGCTCGTAGCTGGCGCAGAGGACGGGATCCTTGAGCAGTCCAGGAAGCACATCGGCTGTTGGAAAGAGAAAGGAGGCGAAGCGGACAGAGTTGGCGAGACGTTCATCTGTAGCGAGGGCTGTCGATGCTTCGTCATTGGCAAAGACATCATGGGAGGTCTCGGCAAAGATGTGGTGGGCGCAGAGAGTCCGCATAACGAAGCCCAGCTTACTCGCATCGGCGATGCCCGTCTTGGAAGCGAGAGCGTCAAGCGTCATGGGGCCATTAGCGGCCAGGAGCTGGGGTATCTCCCACTCCACGACCATGTGAAGCGCGCGAGAAATGTAATAGCTGTGGGCCAGATGGCCGAGACGCCACTGGGGCGTCAAGATTGCCGCCTCGAGCGATGTCGTGGCAGCGATGACGCGTTTACGGGCCTCTTCGGCCTTGGGGGTTTTCGGGATTCGAACATCAGGGTTTGTCTTTGCTCCGTTGCTGACTGTAGCCTTACCGGCCGAAGAGGAAGACAGCTCGGCGATGAGGTCATTGGTTGAGGTGGTTAAGATGGCTAGAACCGAGCGGAGGTATGTGATTTGTTCATTTTGCTCAGCGATGCCGATGGCCATGTTGACTAAGAGTGACGAACGTCTTTTACCCCTGGTACTTGTTGACGTATTGGTATTGCGTCTCACTTTTCTGTGGGCTTTTTCACCTGATTCCCTCTTAAAGCTGGGATATCACTTGCAATTGGCTTTGTAAGTTGAGGTGATATAGCTCAGGGATGGTAATGATAGGAAACCCAACGGATTTCGGGCTCGGCACTGCTTGTGTTGTGATCAATGTAAATGACGTTTTTTTTATAGGGATATGAGTAATAGTCCCGGGCATCAGTGATTTCATTGCAGGGGGCTCTGGGCTATGAGTATTATAGCGAGCGAAATTGGCTATCTTGAGAGTGAGGTACCACTTTGAGTCAGTCTGTAAAGCTTCGTATTCGTGCCCGGTCGGCTATCGTAAGAGCTCGGCTACCATGCGAGATTAGAGATGACGGCGATGGTTGCCATATGGTCCGATTGTCCGAACGTAAAGTCTATTAGACTTACTGTTTCTACACGGTGTTCTCACGAATCAGGCATCGCAGTGTTCTAGTCTTCATCATTGCGCCTTGACCTTATCAAGATTATTGTTTCTACATGTCAAAGGTAGATGAAAACAGCATATTGCTTCAAAGCTTCTATGCTTCATGTCAAGTTGTTGATAGAGCCGCGCGGGGCAGATTTTCTCTTTCAGTCCGCGCCGGCGGCCAAGGCGTTCTGGAGAACGGACTCCGACGCCGTCGGGGCCGATTATTCAAGGCATACTTGTAAGCGGCGTACTATACGGGGAGATCCCCGCCTTGCATGAGGAAGGCGTTCTCACATGCATCAAGGTTAGGGCCCGTGGACCCGTCACGCCCGTCAACCTTACAAACTAGATACATCCTAAACTATAAGTGAACATCCCACCAGTTCGTTGAGATGGCCCGCCCGCCCGAACAAGAATCTTACCTTCCGCGTGTTCCGCATGAAACATGTAATTTAAACTTCAAGTCCAGCCCTGTCACAAATCACGTCATATCGAGATGCCCATCATCCAGTTCTGAATTCCATGTCTAGACCAGGCCCTTGCCCCTTAACCTCAGGAACCCAAACACACCTTGATCAGTAATGGGTTCGGCCGTACCCTTAAACCGTACGCTTTCGCATTCGCTTTCCGAAATTGACCTAGCTTCAGTAGAGCGTTGGTTTATCTCAACTGTAACGACTGATTGAGATTCCTAAAAAGGCAACCTATTGTCAACTTAAGCATTCGACACATACAGGCCCAACAAACAGTGACTCAAGTAAACTCCAACGTAGGAGCTTTGGTGACTCGAGGCAGCCAGAAGCCAGAAATAATCACCAAAGCGGAAAAAGTCAACGTTATTACGAATAAACGCCAAAAGCAGAGTGAGGATATCAATTTTTGCCCTCAATAGGCTCAAGAGGAAAAATATTACACAAAGATGGCCTATCAAGCTATTGGTACTGCCAAGCGAGACATCTACAACGAATTTGACGCTCCCTCCTCCAGTTATACTTCCATTTCGAAAGGAGGTCCTCTTGTCTCCTCATGGCTCCCCACCCTCCACAATACCCTTTCCTCGCTCCTAAGCTGGACGGGCTCCTACCCAGCCCACATCCAAGAAGCCCATCTCGCCTTTGTGCGCGAAGCCGTGGACCCCCGCCTGAAGCAGCCGCCTGCTTCTCTTGACAAAGCGAACTACATCCTTACTCACAATCAGTCTCCTTATGAAGCAAGCGTCGCGTTCTCATCTCACAGAGAGGCCAAGGTGCGGTTCACGGTGCAGCCGCTCGTGGATCCCAGCCCTGGGGCCGCGGGCGGTGACCCCCTAGGGCAGAGAGGACTGCGTCAGAAGCTGGCGGGTCTGGCATCTGCTTGCAACGCCGATCGCACGTGGTTGGATGCCTTCCTTGATTCTGTCTTTCTTACTACGGAGGAGGAGGCGGGCTTGATCAGAATGAAGCCTGGTGGTGCGCTGCCCCGACAAATTTGTTATGCTGGATTCGACCTCGAGTCTGAGGAGAACACGACCATCAGCATGAAAGCGTACCTTTTTCCGCAACTCAAAGTCCTCGCAACGAACCGGTCGCTGGTGGACATCACCGAGTCCGTCGCGACACGCCTTGCCGCGGGTGATGAAGCGATGTTGGCTGCGTGGGAATTACTCAAAACGTTCCTCGTCTCGCAAGGCGAGGACAATATCAACATCTACTTTCTCGCCATCGACTGCGTGGCGCTCTTCAAGAAGTCTCGCTTTAAGGTCTACGTACACACACACACCAACTCGCTTGCCTCAGCCCGTGACGTCTTCACACTAGGCGGCCGCCTTCCTGCTTCCTCGGCCGACTTCCTCCCACAAGTTTGGCCTTTACTGATGGAAATGGAGGATATTGCCCCAGCCGACATGGAAACTCTGGAGAAGCCGCTCAGTGATCCGAATAGCAAGTACTGCGGGCTCTGCTTCGCCTTTGAACTTGTGCCAGGCAAGGCGGTCCCGCAGGTCAAGATGTATGTGCCCATCTGGCAGTACTCCCGTGACGAGGCCGGGATCATTAAGCGCTACGAGCGAATCCTTCAAACGCAGGGGATGATGTCGGGGAAGTACGACTTTGGAGCTGCTGTTCGAGACGCCTTGTAAGTGTCATCCCTTGTCCCTTCATCGACGCGCTTAATGAGCGTATGAGCGTTAGTACTGACTCATGTTTCTCTTCAACCTAAATAGCGGCAAGAATAGAGAGACTGGCCTGCATACCATGGCTTCGATTTCCTCTTCTGGCAAGGGCGTGGGGTTCAGCGCCTATTTCGGGCCAAGGTTTTGGGATTGAACTTCATTAGACGACTTTGTAGAGGAATCTAGTCAACCTTTGTCGTACAATGAAGGCATAGTTCCTTTCTGAAGCCATTTGATTTGACCCCAAGATCCGGAGAATGTTAAATAAAAAATCATACAAACACGTGTGGTGGACTGAACAGTGGAGCATGCGAGTTGGTCACAACACAATATGTGTCCAGAATAGAAAGCAAATGAACGGTTTACTTCATATCACAGACTAGTTCAAGTACAGGGTTAAGATGATTTAGAGCATTCAATAATAATACCGTCTCATAGATGAAATTGAGTCTTACAAGGCCTGTTCACGTTTGCGCGGCACCAACTTGACCCAAAGAGGGTGCTTATCCCAAATGCCATAGCTCTTTTGGTCTAGCCAGTCAAAATTAGGGTCAGCCAGTTCAAGGTCAAATCTGTACAGTAGACTAGCAATAATAAGCCTCATCTCGGGGTACGCAAGGCTGTGCGCAAGATTAGTCAACGGCTTCAATCTGGAAACCGGGATGAGGAAAGAAATCAGAGAAGAGGATGGAACTCACTTCTTGCCAATACAGTCTCGCGGCCCCGCTGAAAATACCTTGACACAATCCCTCCGATCACCAGCATATTTCGCCGGCCGGTCTCTGCCCCCCAACCATCGCTCAGGCACGAACTCCTCAGGATCAACAAAGTTATCCGGATGATGCGCAATCGTATATAGTGGGATGTCCACGCGCGTACCCGCTGGAACATGGCGGCCGCAGACAATACGGCCTCCGGGAGGGACCATCCGCGGCATCGGCGTCGGCGCAGGCGGGTACACCCGCATGGCCTCCTCGATACACGCGTTGAGGTAGGGCAGCTTCCGCAATCGAGTAAAAGTCAAGTCCTCCTGCGGATCCTCAACGACGGCATCAAGCTCCGCGCGCAACGTGGCCATCTTAGACGGGTGTGTGAGAAGCAGATAAGTCAGGGCCGAGGTGGCGGCTGTGGTGGTCTCAGTGCCGCCAATCATGAAAGTCGCAGCGTTGGAGTACATCTCAGCGCGCGAGATGCCTGGCTTCTTGTCGCTGCCGCTGTTCTGCATAATCATGGACCAGATGTCGCTGCCAGAGTCGTCACCGCGGTCCAGGCGCTTGTCGACACGGTCCGTTGAGAAGCGGTTGTGTCGGGCGCGGCGCTCGCCGCTACCGCCCCAGATGAGCTTCAGGAGCAAGGGCCCTAGAGGTGAGTGCCAGCCCATCATAGTCATGCCGAGCGTGACTGTCTTGATGGTTGAGTACGTGTCGCGAACCCACTGGCGCGCCGACTGGTCGCTCTCGAGCATGCCAAGCGGCTCGCCGTACATGAGGTCTCCCATAATGTCAAAGGCGAGGTAGCTCAACCATGTCATGAGGTCGACACGGCCATCAGCATGGGCAGAAGAAGCAGAAGCTAAAGCAGGCTCCGCGTTCTCATCGGCCAGCTTGCCCATCAAGTTGCGCACATGGCCCTGTACGAGACTCTCCTGCTTGAGCACGGCACGATCGGAAAAGGCGTGCGAGAATAGACGTCGCTGTCGCTGATGGTCGGCATCGTTCTCGGCCCGCACGATGCCCTTCTCGGGCGCCGCCATGTCCGGCCCCAGTCCGACATAGTCCTTTGGCATATCGCCACCTCCGCCCGCCTTGGCGTAGATGTCGTGCCAGGCATCAGGATGGCTGTAGCTCAGCTCATTCGGGCCGATGCGCACAACGTGGCCGTACTGTTTGTGGAGGAGCAGAGGCCAGCTATGGTTGGTACCGTTGGCGCGGTGCCAGAGCCATGGGATGGTAGTGATGCGCGCGAGTAAGGGGCCCGGGTATCCCGCCAGGGGATGAAGAGTCAGGTAGTAGATGGTACGTAGGACGAAAAGCCCGAGAATGGCCGGGCCGAAAGTCCAGAGGAGTCTCTGGAGGAATGGCAGGTTGATCAGGTGAGCGGTGAAGGGGATGATGTCGAGGAACATGATGAGCTCGAGTTGTTAGTGAGCGGGGAGTTCGAGACCGAAGTTCCGAGGGACGTGCTGGATCAACCTCTTTTTTTTTTTTCTTTTTTTTTTCTTTTTTTGCTTTTTGACTATCCTGCGTTCCGGATCGCACAAGTAGTAGTAGCTTTTCTCCGAATCTCCGGAATAGAGGACCGATCTGAGGAGAAACAATCAAGACTCAAGAGAGGTTGTCGTCACTGTCCGAG